AGAGGTTTCCTGGCCTACTACTCCTCATTTCTTGCCTTCAACAGCACTGCAGGTAAGACCTGAGCTCTCCCGTACCCTTTGGCAGGGCAGAAGATGAGAATCTCTCTTAAAGGGCTTCTGACGGCTCCTGACACCTGTGGGCATCCAGACCCCATGGGCCAACTGATGGGCATTGTTGCTCGGGGGCATCTTTTTGGACAGCATGACCATGAGGCTGCTGCCAGACACTGTTTCTTTGCCTGGTGGGCAGGGATGGGGCTTTCTCCACCTCCCCCAGTGCTGCCACTGAGCCATCCTCTGTTTTTCGGGCCTATACTGAGGGCAGAGGAGTTACGTGGTCCTGGCATTCTCATTGCTGCAGAGACCAATGCTCCTGCTCTTGCTTAACCACTTGTTTTCCCAAAACCAAGAGGGCTGATGCGCTCAGATGCAGTGCAGTGAACTCCTTGTGGCAGCTGTGTGGAGGAGCAAGTGTGGCTGCTGCTCTCTGTCTGCAGCACCAGCAGCTCCAGCTTGGCTCCCCCTGTGTCACTGAGCTCAGGTGGGGCAGCAGGGCTGGAGGGGTCTGGTCACCTCCTGTCCCTGATGGGGTCACAGAGGATGACTGTGGATTGCTCTTGCTGGGTCCCACCAGGTGACAGTGTTGACTGTGGGGTTTGTGTTCCTGTATCCCTGGGTTTGCTATGTGGAGGGATGACCTGCCCTTGTCTCCTGGTCTTGGGTAAAATGCTGTGCTCTCACTTGCTGCTCTCTCCCTACAGCACCAGGTACTTCCAACTGGACAACTACTGTGACATCAACTTCAGGTAGGTTCGGGGGACTTGTGGCAGGAGTAAATAGACCCCTCCAGTTATGGTTCAGAGGGTGATTGGTGTTGGAGGGAATTTCCAGAGGTCATCTGGTCTAACCCACCTACTAAAGCCATGTCACCTGGAGCTGGCTGCCTAAGTCCATGTCCAGATGGTTTTTGGCTGTATCCAAGCATAGAGAGTTGACCACCTCTGAGGGCAACATGTGCATGTGCTCAGTCAGTCTCACAGTGAAAAAGTGTCTCCTGATCTTCAGGCAGAACATACAATGAACATTTGATGTGGGGTCCCCAGAGGAAAAGGCTCACGTTCTCATCATGAATGTTGGACCAGTGGGAGAAGGGTCTTCAGTGTTTGCTAGAAACTGAAAATAAAAATTGCAAGTCCCTTAGATCAGAGTAGGTGTCTTGTGCATTCTTTAGGTTAAAATAAATAAATGTGTATTTTGTTTTCTAATTTGGAATATAATTTAAAAGATGTTGTCCATTTACACGTTTCTTTTTTCTAGAAATAGTTTGAGCTTGCACTTGAAAGTCTCCTAGAAATCCTTGACTTCATTTTACTACTAGACTTTTTTTAGATCTTGATTCCCCTGACATTTGATTAAGCTGCAACTGATCTGTATATAAATCACACAATTTTTTGACTGTGGCATAAGTTCTTCATGTTTATTTTGAAACAAAATTTGATCTTTTTCTTCCCATTCTTTTTTGTCATTAGCAATTGTAATGGGGATGAACCAGGCTTAGCTGGGACTTTTTCTCTTTCAAGGAATAGCTGACCTCTTGACCTCCAGAAGTCCAACCTCAATAATTGCGCAGTTCTGTGTCAAATATCCATAACCTGCTAGTGCAGACACTGAAGACCAGTATTATAAAAGCTATTCAGTGTGTTTAGCATCTCCTAACCTGTATTCAGATGTATATGAACATAATAAAAACACCACAGAAGCTGGTAGAAGTCATTGCCTCTGAATTTTAGACATTAACTCCATGTAGGCATATTCCAAAAGCAACTTTAAATGGTGTATACATATATTTTCCTTCTGATATTTTTCTCTGCAGAAGATTACTCTTGTGGTGGCTTGCTTTCCTCTTCATCTGGTAGATTACAGAGTCCATTTTACCCCCAAAATTATCCAAACAATGCCAACTGTGTGTGGGAAATAGAAGTAAAGAGCAACTTCCTCGTCACACTTAGTTTTGAAGATATTCAGTAAGTAAGAATTTATTGCTTGGGAAGATGAAGGTATGGGACTGACAACTTGGACTTACTAAGCAAAGACCTACTTGATTTCAAGGATCTTTTTCAAAGCCTTTAAGTACATCTGAGATAAGAAATGTGTTCATTTTTGTTTGTTTAGTCAAAAATGTGGCTGGCACCTAAATTTCTATCTCAAATATTTGATAGTCACATCAGTAAAATGCACTCTTCTGCTATAAACAGGTAATCTGAGCTTAAAAAAAAAAAAATGAAGCATTTAACTAAGTATTCATGTTTGCTCCCCAGGATGGAAGGTGGCAGATGCCTCTCTGACTACATAGAAGTTTATGACGGGCCCCTGCACACCTCTCCTCTCCTTGGGAAGTTCTGTTCTGGTTATTATCGCACATACACGTCCTCCTCAAACCTGATGACTGTCCGATTCCACAGCAACTCTCGATACACATACAGAGGGTTTCAGGCCTACTATTACTCCACTATAGCAGATTCAAGCACTAGTAAGTTCATCTTTAAAGCAGAAGTAAAAATTGCCTCTCAGTTATTTGCGAATTCACTGATTGTTAACCTTGTTGTACCAATTTCACCCATTTCATGTTATTTTAAATTAGATCTGTAACATTTTCATGCAGATTCAAGTATATAGTTTGGATTCTGAACTCCTTCAGTCATATCAGCTGCTTCTTCAAAAGATATTGTTAATTTAATTCACAACTTCCAACCTTTTTTAGGACACATGTAACATGTTTTCTTTGCCATCCACCAGCACTGCTGTGTTTGCCAGACTACATGCATGTAGTTGTGAGCAGATACTTCCTTCAGTCCCACGGCTACTCTGTTTGGAATCTCACCCTGAATGACCCCCTTTGCACACCCAACATCACATCAGAGGCTGTTGCATTCGACATTCCGTACACTCGCTGCGGCACAGTCAGAGAGGTAGGAATAAATGTTCCAACAAAATGGGCAAATATCGGGAGAATATAATAATTCAAACAGAAGAATTAGCTTTGAAAACCAGCACAAACTGAAAACTATACTGAGGTCTGCAGGGACTGGAAGTGTTCTCTCCCTCTCCTGAGGCATAAGGTTTGTTAGCACTTTGTATTTCCTGCATCTGCTGCCGGGGCATTCCCTAATAGCCTGTTATTCATCTTTTGAGGAATAAGTTGTGGAAGAAAGAAAATATTTGGCATTTTCAAGGTTCCAGGCTAAATGTGATGGTTAAAAACGTCTCAAAGCTTTCATTAAATATGACCAATCAGGTCTGAAGCCAGATTTTAGCTTAAATACTGTGCTGGACCTGAACCTTTACCTCTATAATGTTTAAAGTATTTTACAGGTTATATTTAATTCAGTTATGTCTCCATTTAATGTGAGTAGTTTTCTAGGCCAACCTTGTAGGCACTGTATATCACATGGAGATTACAGACTCTTATCTTGAGGACAGAAATTACTGGATTCAAACTTTTCCATGGCAGACTTTCTGGGAAACGATGTCTTTACTGTGTGCATATCCTGTGTAAGGATACAGCAAAGTTTGAAGGTACAATAGGGTACCTCACTACATGAATTAATTTTGCCTTTTATGTGCCAAACAGGGAAACAACAATACAATCAGCTATTCCAACGTTATTAAAGGGTCCTCTTCTGGTTCTGTAATCACAAGAAACAGAAATCTTCACCTGCATGTCAACTGCAAGATGCTCGAGGACACGTGGGCACAAACGATGTACGTCGCGGACAACAATTTCGAAGTCAATGAAACTCAGTACAGCAGATATGATGTGAACCTCACGTTTTATGACTCTTCATACTTCTCACGGCCAGTGTATGACTCGCCATACTATGTCCATATGAACCAGAACTTGTTCCTTCAAGCCTACCTGCACAGCTCTGATCCAAACCTGGTGCTATTTCTGGACACGTGTGTGGCATCTCCAGCTCCCCATAACTCTACAGCAGTAACCTATGATATAATCAGGAATGGGTGAGCTCTTATGCATAACAATTGCAGATAGAACTGCCTTTGAACTCCTATATCTGTCCCATATCTCCTTTCTTTCCCTTTCCCTTTCCCTTTCCCTTTCCCTTTCCCTTTCCCTTTCCCTTTCCCTTTCCCTTTCCCTTTTTTTAAAAAATTTTATTCATTTAGTGGAATAGTGTGAATATAGCATACATTAAGGTCAACTTCTTATTAATAAACAGTGCATTTTGGGTTTACTGGGGAAAAGGGGATGGACTGACCCAAAATATAACGCACATACCCCACAGCTTAAAATGACAAGTAAACTGAGTGGCTACGATTGGTTCACCATAGATTGTTATTATCCAGGAGATAACAGTGACATACCTCAGATAAGGTTAATTTACCTTCAAAATACATACAAACACCATGTATCTGGACACACAACAGCCTGAGGGGGAGGTAACATGGTTTATTTCTGCCAAAGAAGGGCATTTTGTTTTTCCTGCTTGCAGGTTTCTAAACCCAGTTTCATTATGTTTAGAAATTACTTCTCATGTCATGTGTTTATTGCACGTAAATGACTGACTGCAGTGTGTATTCATGAGATTTTTTTTTTTTGCTTCTTTTCAGGTGTGCTCGAGATTCTACCTATGCTGCATATTATTCACCCCACAGACACATCCTGCGCTTTAAATTCGCGGCCTTCCAGTTTGTTTGGAGTGATCCAGTGGTTTACCTGCGGTGTGAACTGGTGGTGTGCAGGGCCTATGACTACTCTTCCAGGTGCTACCAAGGCTGTATTAACAGGCCCAAGAGAGAGGCAAGCTCTGGCCTAGAAAGTGTGATTGTTATTTCTGGCCCAATACAGCTTCGGGAACCTGGTTCTGAGAATAGGAATGAACCCGAATCTAAATAAAACTGTCTCCTTTGACAGATAGATCTTTAAATACCAATTGAATTCTGAAAGAAACTGTGCTGCTAGATTACCAGAAGCTCTAGAATAAACATTAGGAATATGCTTACTGATTCATGCCTGTTAATCCCACTTCACATCAGTCATCTTCATCTCCATATAACAAAAATGTTGTTTCAGCGGTTCTGTGGGGAGTCAGTTTTGTGGTCTCTAAGCTTTTTGTTTGTTGTTTGCTGTCTTAATGGTAAAACTGAAATGTTTAAGTTCTATAAACAGGTTCTATTAATATACACCCGAGCCTGGATATATGAGAGTGCAAGAAGTTGGTTAATCTTTAAGTCTGATCTAGAATGCCATTTTCTCCCCATTTTTTTTTATGTTTTGGTGACAACAAGATGAGGGCAATTCAAGTGTAACTTGAATTGTCTCATCTTTCCAAGCACTGGACTGTTTTGTCATCCAGGAAAACATGACTTCAACTCCTGTTCTATCTCATGTTTCTCAAGCATCATTTATTATTGCTGTTGGCCCCTGGCAGTTCACAGAATCATAAAATAGCCTGAGTTAGAAGGCACCCACAAGGATCATCAAGTCCAACTCCTGGCCCTGCCCAGGACACCCCAACAATCCCACCCTGTCCCTGAGAGCATTGTCCAAACACTCCTTGAGCTCTGGCAGCCTTGGTGCTGTGCCCACTGCCCTGGGGAGCCTGTTCAGTGCCCCATCACCCTCTGGGGGAGGAACCTTATCCTGATAAAACATAAACCTTCCCTGACACAACTTCAGGCCATTCCCTTGGGTCCTGTCACTGCTCCACTGGAGAGACCAGTGCCTGTCCCTCTGCTTCCCCTCATGAGGAAGCTGCAGACCAGGATAGGGTCTGCCCCTAGTTGCTGTTTTCAGTCTTGTTGGGTTTCTCTTGAAACATAAAGTGAAGAAACCAATTCCATACCAGATCCTGTAAGCCTTGGTAAACACCAACGACTGATCACATTGGCAGAGTAATTTAAGGGATCGAGCAATTTCCTTGCCTTGAGTAATTTCATTGACAATTCAAGATTAAAATCCAAGCATGACAGGCTTTCTATGCTGGTGGCTCATCTCGTGACAAAAAACCTCAGCACTGAAAGAAGTCAGAAGACCAGGGAAAGTTTGCAGCCCATTAACAACCCTCAAATTGGCTGCCACCCTGCAGTATTAGGTTCTCAAATCTTATCACAGTACCTGAACCATCAGCTTACTTCTCTCAAGATGCTTATCTTGACTTTGCTAGTGAAAAATACAGCCTGGGTTGTAGAGAACACTGAGGGCTGGTTCTTGCTCCACAAGAAACGTGAGTTTGTTTCCCACTTTTTCAGATGTAACTTAAGATCAAGAGTCCTCTTTTTCCATAGGGTAGTTGTGAGTACATTACAAATGGTGATGGAGCCCACCTGTACCCGTGAGAGGTACTCAGTAAATCTCAGTGTGATGCAATGTGTGTCTTTACCCTTCAGCCAAGGGACTGCTGGAGCTGCCCTCTAATGTTTTCTGTTTTCACTGCAGTCAGTGCTAGCAAGTAAAATATTTGAACTCAAGTACTACTGTTATACTCTCCTGAGCCTTCTCTTCAATCCTGTTTCCTATCACTTCCAATTTTTTGAGAAGCAGATAAAATTTTGCATAAAAATTTCATGGAATAATGAAACGTTTCAAATGAAGGGGGATCTATGTAGCTAAAAATACCTGGATAATCACTCTTGGCTGAAAGACAAAAATTATTCTTCCAATTGCGTAAGAATCATCACATATAATGTCTGAATATTTGTGACAAGTTCTTGTTGAGAAAATGAGCTATTTAAGTTATTTTCTATTATGGGTGATTTCCAATGTAAATTATGTAATTACAAAATCAGGAAGACAGTGTTTATAGGTTGATATTTCTTGTCTTGATTCCTGAAAATGGCTCTGCATTTAGCACTCAAAATTTTGCTGTCTTGAAGGACATCATCTCTAATACAGAGTTTTTCCAAGCAATATATTGTTTGTGTATGGAGTTCTCCTTCAAGAACAGGGGACTATCACATACCTGAGTCGTGAAAAAATCTAGGAAGGTCAAATTTGTGGTCCAGATCTGCTGTGAGATCAGCACTGCATAACAGCTTATGCCTGTGACTTACTGCCTAAGTCAGGCACTTCTGTAAAATTCATACAAATCCTAATTATAGTATTACCATGATAGTATAATTATTGGTACAGGTTAACCTAGCACTTCACTGTCAGTCAAAATCAATTCTGGAAAACAAAAGTCCCGTGCCTAGGGGTTTTTTTTTGTTTGTTTTGTTTGGGTTTTTTTTCTTTGCCCATAAATAATTTCAAGTGCAGGCAGTATAGCTTTTTTTTTTTTTTTTCTTTTTGCAATACCAAAAC